CGGAGGTGCGGGCTGGCGGCGCCCTCGGGACGTCTAGTCCATCCCCCGCTGAAGGCAGGACCAGCTCCCCCACAGCTAGATCACCCCGGCCCAGCCAGGTCTTTAAACCCTCCAAGGACGGAGACTCCCGTACCTCTCTGGTAACCTGCTCCTGTGTTCGACTGCCCTCCTCCTGAGAGGAGTTTTTCCTAATACTATCAGCCTAAGCTTCCCCTGGACACGCCCGTGTGGTGCCGCCGGCCCGGCCCGGCCCGGCCCCTTGGGGCCGTGCTGCAGGGAGCTGCAGGCTGCTGTCACATCCGCGCTCGCTCTTTTCTGCATACTGAACGAGCCCGGTTCCCTCAGCTTCTCCTCACAAGGCATGTGTCCTAGCCCCGCTGCCCTCGCTAGACTCTCTCCCATTTGTCCACATCCTTTCTGTAGTGGGGGCCTCCAGATGTGCCCCAGATGTGGCCTCACCCGTGACAAATAGAGCGGGGTGCTGTGTTTCGTTTTGGGCCCCCCACTGCAGAAGGGATATGGATGGTCTGCTGACACTACGCCTACCAACGCAGCCCAGGATGCTGTTAGCCGGCAGTGTCCACTTGGCACACAGCTGACTCATATTCAGCTTATTGTCCACCGTCACCCCCAGGTCCTTTCCTGCAGAGCTCCAGCCCAGCCAGTCGGCCCAGCCTGTCCTGGTGCATGGGACTGTTCAGTCCCGAGTGCAGGACTCCGCACTTGTCCTTGTTGAACCTCGTGAGATTCTTTTTGGCCCAATCCTCCAATTTGTCTAGGTCACTCTGAATCCTAGCTCTGCCCTCCCGTGTATCTTCTACACCCCGCTCCCCCAGCTTGATATCATCTGCAAACTTGCTGTGGGTGCACTCAACGCCATCTTACAGGCCACTGAAGAAGAAAACCAGCCCCAGGAATGAGGCCTAGGGTACTCCCACTTGATACCACGTGCCAATCAGACATCCAGCTATTGATTACTATGCTTTTAGCCCAACAATCCAGCCAGTTTTCTATCCATGTTACAGTCCATTCATCCAACCTGTACTTCCTTAGCTTGCTTGTGAGAATGTTGTGGGAGACTGTATCAAAAGCCTTGCTAAAGTCAAGGTATATTGGGTCCACTGCTGCCTCTGCATCCACAGAGCCAGTCATCTTATAGAAGACAGTCAGGTTGGTCAGGAATGACTTGCCCTTGGTGAAGCCATGCTGACTGTTCCTGATCACTTTCTTCTCCTCCAAGTACTTAGAAATGGATTCCTGCTTCCTGATTTTTCCAGGGAGTGATGTGAGGCTGATCAGTCTGTCAGCCTCGCCTCCATCTGTATTGAGAGGGTGTTGGGATATGTGTGTTTTGGTGGTGCTTGGGGTGTCCTGGGGGGTATGGGTGTTTGGGGGGTTGAGGGGGTTTGTTGGGAAGGTGTGTATTGCAGAGGTGTTGAGGGGGAAGCTTCGATGCTCTGGAAAAAAAAAATCAGTGCTGGAAAATGTGTATGTGGAAGGTAGGAACATGGAGGAGGGACAGGGGAGTCCTTCTAAGCCATAGGCTGGACCAGAAACGTCTGTGCTGGGAAACTTACTCTAGAAGTCCAGTCAGCTAAAGAAAGGAGTAATAACCAGTTTCTGGCTGCCCCCCTCTGTGGGGACCCACTGGGCCCTGTTCATTTGCAACTTTGCAATGGGGTGCTTATATGTTTTAATGCTTTTCTCATCACCGGTGCATGGAAAGGGAACAGGAGGGTGTAGCTGAGGCCTTAATTTTGTAGTTGCATCCATGGTGCCTTGCCGTGCTACAGATCCCTACCAATATGGTATTAGTTAGACTTAAGAGACGTGAACTTAAATTGAGTTAAAGTGCACTTTGCTCACTTTACTGCTGTCAGTCCATTTACTCTCTTAGAGATTCAACAGGGCATTGGGGACCAATTTTGTGTCAGGCATGCAGCAAATTAGCCTGCACCTTCCCTGAGTACTACTCTGATTCCCATCTTCTGCCCAGTCTGCTGCTCTACTTTCTGCTCCCTAGTCTGTGCTCTCTGCCCAGTCTCCTCTGTTTCTGCTCCCTGCCCTATCTGCTGCTGTGCTGCTTGTCCCCAATCTGTCACATGCCATCCACACCAGCTGCCTGTGCCATTTGCAGCACTCTTGCAAGTTGGCCACCCCTAAAGAACAATGTAAAGTCAGATACCTGCATAACAGCAGCAGCTCATCAGGCTACAATGGTAGTGACATGCCAGATTTTATAGCTAACAGCACACAAGAGAGTGATGTGGGTAACCTCATTTCTGGCCTCTTTGGACTCCCCCACCTAAGTGACTAGCTGCCCATTTACACCTGGGGGCACCCTTTAACACAAGTTTAGAGCAGGCTGGAACTCTTGTCTCTGGAGCTAGGCCCTCCCAAGAAAGCAGTGTGCCCACTGATGTTCAGTGTATTGTTCATGATTGCATTTTTGTTCTGGTCTCTATTCCATATGGTTCAGTATTTTCTTTATTTCATTAACTGATGTAATGCAGTTTTTTTTTGGCAAAGAACTGATTTCCCATCTTTGTTGCATGGGCTCTGATGCTTAACAAGAGCCAAGAATCTGGACAGCAAAGGGCCCCAAACATTTTCAAACTTGATTCATAAAAGTAGGTTCCCGAATCCATGTTTTGACACGAGAACATAAGTGGCCTGATTTTGGAATGTGGAACATTTGAAATTTGCTTGAAATCCATAAGGCATAAGGTGAGCTGCATCTTTGAAAATCTTTGTTCAGTTGCCAAAAACAAGAACTCTCAGAATTTCAGCCGGGACGTTTTTTGACAGGTTTAGAATCCTAAATAGCTGAAGTGTTTTTATTATAGTGCATTAGCAAATTAGTGTATTTTATAATTTTCCAACTTTGACAACACAGAAGTTTAAAAATGACACATGACAATTCAGTCGCTTTGTTTCCTTCCATTACACCATGCAACACCATTTAAACTCTTTTTCTATTTTTCCTTTCTTCAGGACATGACACAACTCCATATGTCTTTTTTCTCTACCATACTTCATGTGTCCCATTTATGGGTTTCATTGTCATTACATGACTCAGCTCCCTCATTTGTCTCCACTCTTCCCCACTACAAGGTGCAGCTCCATATTTGCACCATAACACGCTACAGATATTCCCCCTTATCTCCCTTCACCAGCAACATGATGCAGCCTTTACTTAGATTCTCTCTGCCCCTCTCCCTTTCCCTCTCAATTTGTGTGTTTTTTACTGTAGTTCTCTGCTTCATTTTGGTTTTCTTTCAATTTAAAACAATAAATCAAATTCATCTGTGGTGTAATTCCTGCTTAGTTTGGGAGTTGTGCACTAGCTAACCCAATATATATAACCGTGTTGCCCTATTTTTATTACATCCATCTCTCTCCTAACCTTACCCATTTCAATCTTGTTCTTTCTTACCCTCAGTTATTGCGTTTTGTCTCAGATTAGATTATAAACTCTTTGGCATGGGCTGCTTATACTATGTGATTACAGGGCTTAGCACAATGGAGACCAAGTTCTGGCTGGAACGTCTAAATCCACCATGTGATGCAGACATGCATACATGTACCCATAAGAATTTTACCATTTACATGAGGGATTAATTTGGTGTCCTATTTAAAAAAAAAAAAAGGATAAAGTGCATTTTTGAAACATTCAGCATATGAAAAGAAACAGTTCTAGAACTCCAAAGGAATGTGTTTACACTGTGTTGTGGTATTAAATCACATTTTAAAATATTTGCAGTTTAATTTTCTCACAAATACCACAAATCGGGTATTGGTCACCAAACAGCACATTTTACTATAAAATCATTAAGTTGACTTTCCTATTTATTTATCATTTTTCGCCTATTTTCTGAAATTTAGTAGTAGGAACATTTTCTGCTTTGACCATGAATTACAGATTTAGCTGCCGCAGTTCCTTTGTTTGCCTGGTACAGTGCGACTCCCGTTATGAAAGAGCAATACTTTGCTTTTCCATTTAAGTTCTTTGTTTTTCAATTTAGATGCTTTGCATTGGTACACTGTTAGGATGGTACATTTGCTGCCTGTTCTCATAGTAATGCATTTGGTAGGCAACATCAGTTCACAAACATAGCCGGTCTGGCTGGGCGGTGTTTCAAAGTACAGCAGTATATTATCCTTAAATTTAAGGATTAGTTATAATATGGAATGCTTATTTTAATACTTTCTAGATTCATTTTAAATATTTTTCTCTATTAATATTGGTCTTTGCTGTATTACAGTATTTTTCTTGTGTTTGCAATGGAACTGAAGTTAACACAGCTATTTTTCTTTGTTTCCCAAGTTGTTTGTTTACTGCTGCACAACGAACAAACTTAAGTAAAACTCAAGTTCTCTGTGGGATATATTGTTGAAAATTTCTTAGAAATGAATTGGTACATTTGAAAGAAAAGGAGAGTTCAGAAAAATCTCATTACCTATAATAGTTCTAAACTGAGCAGAGTTTGCAACATAAAACTTTTTGAATTATGGCCAGATTCTGCCCTTCGTTGTTCAGTTGCAAATTCAGGTGATCTGCAGTTAATTGAATGGCCTTTTTTCCTAGAGAAAATGAGAACAGAACATGGTTCTCAGTGTTTTAAATTAGTCAGCTAAGAGAAATGATAGGCAACACACGTTTTTTATATAATCATCTGGCAAGGTTCTTTGGGCAGATGTGATATCCTTTATTAGACCAGCTGAGTAGCTGGAACAAAGTTCTTTGCAAGCTTTTGGGCACAAGCAGCCTTCTTCAGGCATAGAAGTTTGTTCCAACTACACAGTTGGTCTAATAAAAGATGTCACATCTGCCCAAAGAAACCTTGCCTGCCTATGTTCTTAGACCAGGGACAGGCAATTATTTTGGGTGGAAGGCCGCTTACTGAGTTTTAGCAAGCCATCAAGGGCCACGTGACAGGCAGCAATGAGGCAGATAAATTTTAATTTTCTAAATTTTTTAGGGGCCCCGCAGGCCGGATAGAATGGCCTGGCCGGCCGCATGCGGCCTGCGGGCCACATTTTGCCCACCCCTGCCTTCGACCAATAACCCTGCAACATTATCAGCTGCCTTTTCTTACACAATTTTGGTTTCAGTTTCCTATAATTTTGCCAGTGTTAAAATATTTGTGCTAATATTTCTGAAG